AATAAAAGTGGAATTCTCTGCTGTCTGCAGGGCTTTCCCCAGGGAACAGAGCATGAAACCCAAACTTATATAAAATCATATCCTGTTTGCAAACATCATATTCCCTTTGCTTCGCACTAATCTGGTCTCGTAAACCCCGGCACAGCTTGAGAGCCCATTCCTCATCTAAACAAATGCCATAAGCCCCTTTATACTTTTACAGCCATGTCAAAAAATAATATTGCCTGCCAATAGTGATGTGATTGGAGTTGCCTCCACCGAGCCATAAAAGAAGTGCAGTCTGTTATCAATTTCTCTAAGTGTATCAGGGGAATTATGGGTCGATTCAGTTCCAAGTTATAAATGACAACTCAAAAGCCGCAGAAGCGTTTGAAGCTGGGAGCTGATGACGACATTATCATAAAAGCCTGCTCGTCCTTGCTTTTGAGGGCTTTTTTTTGTGGCCTATCAAATGAAGAGGGAAATATAGGCTGAGAAATCACTTCAAGATTTCTTCACACAGCAGCAGGTCAGATGGACAGGAAAATGATCACTATTTTTAGTGATGTACCCAGAGGAGTCAGAACTGAAGTGGTCCTGCACTAGATTTTTTTTTCCCTCCAAGTCCCTTAATTATTTATTTCACTATGCAGTGAACAAGTCCTGGGATGTGGTAAAATGTTCTTTCTAACGAGTGCATTTTCTTGTACTGCAATCACACAGTAATCAGGAATGAGTCATGCAGTAGTAACTAAAGAAAATGACAACCAAACAGAAAGGAATTTTGAAACTTTGTGAACGTTGTATGAAACTCAATTTTGAAAAGCACACTTTTAAGCCCTTTGAATGCCATTAGCCAATTGATCACGAAAAGCTGGTTGGCCAACACTATCAATTGTATGCAATTTTAAGGGGAAATTTCATAAGCAGAGATTTCTTGATTTCATAATGACCTAGATAGTCTCCCCAAAGCTATACAGTCAATATTTAGTAGGTCTGTATTAAACCCATTTCAGATGGAAGTAAATATTCTAGGTAACTTGAGTTTGTTTTAAACATTGGAGAGCATTGAGCACATGGGCCCATCTTCTGAATCAGAAGAGTGCATTAAGAACAAAAACAATTTCAGAGGTTTCTGAAGTCTCCGAGGTGCTCTAGGAGGTACCATTGTAGGTCACACCAAGTGCATTCTGGGTATCTTCTGCATGCTTAGTAAGTCTAGGACTATCCTGAATTGGCTCAAACCCAAATGACACAAAGTTTCTCTTAGGTCTTGTTCAAAAGTAAAAATCTGAGATGATAAAATGGCTCCTCGGTGCCTTAAGAACACAATTTGGTTCCTGAAAAAAAAATTCTTTTTAAGGACTGAATGAAACTAATTCTCTAGAACATAAAACAAATGTAAGCTCTCACACACACATTCTCCTGAACCGAAATGAACACTCCCAAAAGATCTGTAGTCCTGTTTGATAAACAGAGGTCCCCTATTCACCCTTTTCCAGCACTGGTGGTGTTAATTAATCCAGTTGTCTTCCTGCTCCTTTGTCCCCTTGATCAAGTTACACTTACGTATCACCACTACTAGAGTCCCAGTATGGTGCCCTAAGATAATGCACTGGACTACAAGGTCAGTGATTCAAACTCAGCAGCTGCTCCTTGGAAACCTTATGTAGGTTTGTTACAGGTCAGAACCAACTCAATGGGACTTAACAACAACAACATCACCACAACAGCCACCATCTGATATCCAGGGGTATTACTGAGGACTTACCGAAGACACCTGTCTATCCATTTGTTATACTGTGGTGGCTTGACTATTAATATGATGTTGGAAACTACACCAGCAATATTTCAACAGAGCTTCCAGACTAAGACAGACTAGGAAGAAAGATTTGGCAATCTACTCCAGATAATTAGTCAAAGAAAACCTTAGGGATCACAAAAAAACCTAGTCCAGTCACTTGCATTGGACATGTCATCAGGAGGGGTCTGTCACTAGAGAAGGACTGCACGCTTGGTGAAATAGAGGCCCAATGAGGGCCAATGGTGGTGGTGCTGTTTATGTGCCATAGAGTTGGTTGTGACTCACAGCGACCCCACACAGGGTTTCTGAAGCTGCGGATCTTTACAGGAGCAGAAAGCCTCATTTTCCTCCCGTGGAACAGCTGGTAGTTTCAAACTGCTGACCTTGAGGTTATCAAAATAAGGGCCAATAGACTGGGTTAATAACCACAACAATGAACTCATACATGCTGACAATAGAGAGGATAACACAGAGCCTGACAACATTTGTCCTATTGTAGGTAAGTTGAACAGAACTCCATAAAAGCTAACAAAAACAAACTGCTCAGACATCCATTGTGCTTTGTGTTAGACACACCAGGTCAGTAGCAGCAGTCACTGATCCTTGGGCACTTCTAAAAGGTTACTAGAACAGCTTTGGCTAAAGGTTAAAACACTACTTTCATACGTGTTTAGAGCAGTGGGAAGAAGTACTTCATGATCAAAGGATAGTGAGTTAGAGGCATAATCCATGTCAGACTTGGGGTGTAGGTATGTTCTAGGGCTCAGTTCTGGGCCATGAATTAAATATATTTGTCAATGAGTGGAAGTTTGCGGACCACCAGTCTTTTAACAACTTTAATTTCCTTCTCTTCGGTGTACTCACTAACTGGTGGTTAGCTCTGTTTCTTTCCTTGCCTCATTTGCAGATACTCAGCCAGTCTCCTAAAATGACCACTTGGGATGCTAGAACGTAAGAACAAAAGCCAGCAAAACTCATTTTAAAAGGCACTTTATTGTCTGCTTTCTAGAATGACTTTATCAACTCCCAACTTCACTAAGTTTTGCTAAAAATAATTATGGATTACTGTGCAGGTGCTGGGAGTCCTGGTGTGGTACTGTGGGATAAAGCATTAGATCACAAAGTCATTTTGAACCACGAAGTCAGAGGTTCAAACTCACCAGACATTCCTTGGAAACCCTATACAGGATCGCTATGAATCAGAACCAACTCGATGGCACGTAACAACAACAATGTGGGGTACTGATCGTCCCGTGCTTTAAGTCAAAAGAGCACATCCCATGTACTAGTGAGCTGCTCTAGTGGGCCAACGCTATTAGCCACAATGCTGCATGGTGGTTTCTCAGGAGGCTGCGTGCGAGGAGCTGCATGTCAGTTTTACATTCTAAATGAGTGCTTATATTTATTTAGTAAAACATCACCATTTCTCTGGAGCATTCAGTTTCTTATCTGTGAAAGAGACTATTTTACTTCACAGCGTTGTTGTGAAACCCGTCAGTATGTTGGTAAACAGTAAAGTCCAAACAGATACTGGTTGTGGCTTCCATTATTTTCAGGAGGAAGAGAACCACAGGTGAAGAAATAGAAAGGACACCCAACCCTAAACAGCCAAACCCACTTCTATCAAGTTGATTCCAATTCATAACAACCCTATATATGGTTTCTGAGACTAAATCTTCATGGGAGTAGACAATCTCATCTTTCTCCCACAGATTGGCTAGTGCTTTTGAACCGCAAGACTGTGGTTAAAAGTCCAATGCTTACCCAATGGTGCCACCTTATGCTTTGTGCTGAATCTAGCATCATTAAAATGAAAGAAGAAGCTGAAAATATATGGGATTTCATTGCATAAAATTTAGTTACAACAGCAACAAAAAAATACCTAAAACATGGTATATACAGATACAGTTTTGTTATGTTCCTGCACTAACCAAATAACCTCATGTGACACTGTAGGATAAGCACTGCACTAGTAACTGCAAGGTCAGCACTTCAAACCTACCAGTCACTCTAAACCCTAAACAGTGTTACTATGAGTTGGAACCAACTCTACCGGCACACGATAAGAACAACCACTAATAACTTAATTGGCAAATTGCTTAAGTTATTGGAAACCTGAGCTAGAATGTGTTGTCCTAATAAGACTTGCTCTTTGGAAATCCTAGAGGGTTGCTATGGGTCAGAACCAACTCGATGGCACTTAACGGCAACAATAACATAACTTGGAGTCCTGATGGCCTGCTGTACGATAAACACTGGAATCGGTGGTTCAAACCCACCAACCACTCTTCAGAAACCCTATACAGGGTCGCTATGATTTGGAACCAACTAGAGGGCAGTTAACAACAACAACAATAACATGACTTGGTATTTAGTTCCATGTGACAGAGGTTTGTTATTGGTAAGGGTTAACTTTAATATGTTGTAGGTTATATGGTATATTCTAATCTTCCACAAAAATGTACACATTTTTCTTCATATGTTGCTGAATTCAAGCAAATTTTCCTAAAAATGTATCATAAATATCTTGGGTCCAAAGGTTTTTTAATTATCAGAGATAAAAATGGTCCCAGGAAGGTCACAAAAATAATTACCCACAATGCAAAGCACCACGTGAAGTTTCTGCCATTTTCATTACTAACGTAATCGTCATATATGCATGTTTAATGTGACTCTATTGAAAAAATAAATCTGCTGCAAAAATGTATTAAGCTCTCTAGTATTTCTTAAGTTACATGGAAGCTCAAGAGTCAGCTTTGAGGGTGCATGATTCAGGTAGTCCCAGGGGATCACGGAGTTCTGTTGTGGCACCGTGGGCTAATGCGTCAGACTGCAAAGTCGTTTGAACTGCAAGGTCGATGGTTCAAGCTCACCAGCTGCTCCTTGGAAACCCTATACAAATTCACTATAGGTCAGAATCGACTCAAAGGCATTTAACAACAACAACAGAGGACCCCACACTTAGACATGCCTTGCAATCATCTAATTCTTTGTTGCCACCATTGTGAATTCTTAATTTTTCAACAATAAATTTTGAAAAACAACAATAATTTTTGATCATTTTCATCTGGCACTGAGTCTTGCAAATTATGTAACTGATTCTGGAATCTAGTATAAGTTTTACTAAAAAAGAGTCGTAAATATAAGTAAATAAATAAAGCAATGAAGACTTTTTGGAAGCTTGATTATTTAACAGTAATAATTAACTGATACTTACCCCAAGTCCACCACAAGGTAATGAGGAAAAAAATTTCTGAGAGGCATCACCTACAAGGTAAGGAGATATTGGGAAAATAAACATAGTTGCTTATTTCTGGTAAATGTTCATTAGCTCGTAATACTGTATCACAGGATATTTATGATATATTTATAATAGGAAACTAAAGAAAATTTAGATCAATAGATCAAGTATTCAACAGAGTTAATTTTCAGAATACTGAATGCATACATGTAAGAAAGAACTCAAAGCAGTATTACATGTAGGGTATATTGTCCCACATGGACAAACACACACTCATAAAATCTGGGACACAATATAGATATCATAACTAACCTAGAATTAATTATAGAATATATATACTATTGTCACTTATAATTCACTGAAAATGTGTTATTCACTAAATATATCTCTCCACTATGATGTTTTGAGCTAATACAACAGACACTGTATTTTCTAAATATTTTTTAAATATTAAAACATTTTGATGGATGCCAAAGGCAATGAATGAAATTCACCTAGCTCAAAGAGCTAATCTTTCCATCAGTTGTTTTAGCAAGAGTCCTTTTAGTTAAGATGATTTTATTAAACAAATTGTAACTGGACTGGTCTTGTATTTACCAATACCAAATAAAATACAAGGTCCATTCAAAACAGTGTCTTCCAAGAGGATTTGCTGGACAGTTCAATTCAAAGCAGAAAGGTCATCTCAGAAAGGTTTTAGAAATTCCAAAGCAGTAGTCGTGAAAGATTTTCTCAGGACAATCACTGGACTTCTTAAGAAGTTTTAAGAAAATTTTATAAGCTGCATTGGTAAGAAAAAGGCCAGGTAAGTTTCACCAAAAAAAAAGTTTTTTTCCCATCTCGAAAATGTACCAGCTCATTCATCGAGAGTAACAAGGACTGTCTTAGAAGAATTTGAAGGGAAATTTTACCCCATCCACCCTGCAGCCCTGATATTACCCCTTCAGATTTCTTTTTATTTCAGAGAACATTTAAGAGGAACATGATTTGAGTCCCCTGAGAATATCAAAACTATCATTTGACATGGTATCAATTTAAAATAAGATTCTTCGGGGAAGGGTTAGAGAGATGGAAATACCACCTTAAGAAGTATATAGACCTAGATGGAGGATATGTGGAGAAATAATAGCTTCACATTTTGATATATTTTTAAACAGTTTTGTTTGATTTTAAAATACTTTTTGGCTTACAGTCATGAAAAAATAAATATAAACCTTTTAAAATATTTAACCAAATTTTCCGTTAGATTGATATTTTATATGATTTTTAATGATTATTTTTGTTTCCTTGCATATCTAATTAGCACAGTAACTATGACATGAATACAGAGAACAATATTACCCCAAACCAAACCCATTGTCATTGACTTGATTCCAACTCATGGCTCTCCTACAAGACAGAACAGAAACCTCCATAGGGTTTCCAAAGAGTTCTGGGATGGTGCTGTGGGTTAATGAGCTGGACTGCAAGGTCTCTCAGTTTGAGTCATAAGGTCGGCGGTTCAAGCTCACTAGCTGCTTTTCAGAAACCATACAGGGTCTCTATGAGTTGGAACCAGTGCAACGGCACTTCACAACAACAATCTTCATTGAAGCAGACTGCCACATCCTTCTCCCACAGAATGGCTAGTGGGCTCAAACTACTAACCTTTCTGTTACCAGCCAAACAGTTAACGATTGAACTAGCAGGAGTTTTTGAAAACCATATTAATTGCTCTTCTGTAGGATCAGCTCTAAACCCCAAATCACAAGGTTGATGGTTCAAACCCACCAACTGCTTCTCTGAATCCCTGTACAGGGTTGCTTTAAGTGGGAACCGACTGACTTGAGGGCACTTAACAACAACAAAACCTATAAGGCCAAAATGTGCTGTGGAAAGCATTTTTATTTCATAATCAAACGGTTCTAAGTGACTAAGATGGGTATTAACTTCCCATCCAAGCATCATAATTCATTTGTCCTATTGATGGTCAATGAAGTAAATAACATTGAAAATTGAAAACAGGTTTGTGTTGGAATTCACATGCCATGTCAGTAAAAGTCTAAATAGATTTTACTGACACAGAAAAAAAGTTTATTTTGAAAACAATAAATTATATGAGTTGATTTCGAAATGCAATTGCTAACAGATGGAAATTAATAAACAAAAATGCACGTGCAAATGAAAAATAATATATTTAGATAAATATAAGGATCTCCTGGTGGGGGGAGTTGAGAAATCAACAGAAAAATAAATCATGGAATAATATTGAAACTGGAATATAAGCATCAGCAGAAAACACATAAAAATGTTTCTAATACTATAGGAAGGGGAAAAGTTTTGTTATTTGTTATTTGAAACAAAGGTATTAATGTAACCTTCAATCTTTTGCAAGAATGCATTCAGCATATCATCTGTAAAATTTAAAGTTACATTTATATATTATGAAATATCTAGAAATTGCAAATGCATGATGAGAGAAGTTTATTAGTGTCTGCTAGGGTTAGGAGAAAGAGAAATTGTTGTTGTTATTGTTAAGCACCATCAAGTTCATTCCTACCCATAGTGACCCTGTATAAGGTTTCCAAGGAACAGCTGGTGAACTTGAACCACCGACCTTGTGGTTTAAAGCGACTATTTTGTCCAGCGCATTAACCCACAGTGCAACACCAGGACTCCAAGAGAAGGGGAAATAGGAATTAGTATTTAAGGGTGACTCAATCTTAGTATTGGAAGAAGAAAGACATTTGAAAATGAATAGTGGTGATGTCTGCACACAATATAATGCCCCTGAATTATACATTCAAGTGGTATCAATGGTAAATGCTTTGTTACACATATTTTACCACAATTAAATTTTTAAAATATGCATGTATATTCTAATGCTGAAATCTTCATTCTGTAGTCAGTGAAAAGTTAAAAAGATAACATAGTGTAATAAAATCACTTTTTAAAGTAATTTTCAAAAGGAAAAAGCCATTACATAAATAAGTAAACACCAAATATATTTCTTGAGGATAACTTTATTTAGTCATTTTTCTATAATATGCAAGGCTGGTTTGAACCACAACATCAGTGGTTCAAGCCCACCAGCGAGTCCTTGGAAACCGTATCCAGGGTCACTATAAATTGGAACTTTCTCGACGGCACTTAACAGCAACATTATATGAGACATTTATATTTATTATTATGTAAGCAATATTTGGATTCCTGGAGTGGTAATGTGAGATAAAACACTGGACCACAAGGTTGGTTTGAACTGCAAGGTCGATGGTTCAAACTCACCAGCCACTCCTCAGAAACCCTGTACAGGGTCACTTTGAGTCGGAACTGACTCGATGGCAATTAGCAAAGACAAGCAATATTTATTTCATTGCATTGACTAGATTTAATTTTTAACATCATTATATAGCCTTTTCCATGAACTGAGATTTGACCAGACTCATGATAATGAAAACTGTTAGCAAGCATGATGGGAATATTAATGCTAAGGAAAATCTTGTATCAGAAACTATAGGAGTGAATGTTCTTAAAGTGTCGCCTTACAGAGTCTAGAGCAGTTATAAAGTTAAATGGTGTCCATTTTCAAATCTAATTATTTTGTAATCTGTGGGTATCTTTCAAGATACAAAGGCTGGAATTAGGCCATAGTGAACTTTTATTTAAATCCTTCCTCCTAACTTCAGAAGATAACTGTCAAGAGTAATACACCCATGCCTCACTTATTGACTATCTTGTTATGTGACATTTCACATTTACAGCCAAGTAAATTACCAATTCTCCAATTATTTCTTGCACTAATGGAATATCACTGGCAGTAAAAAATGCCAAGGGAGCAAGGTGCCTCTCTATAAGTACTGGAATAGGAATCAAAGGTCGTCATTTGAGCCCACCAGCCACTCCTTGGGAGAAAATGAGGTTTTCTGCTTCTGCAAAGATTTACAGCCTCAGAAACCCTATACAGGGTTGCTATGAGTCAGAAGCAACTTGACAGTATGTAACAACAACAGCTCCTTGGAAATCCTATACAGGGTCCCTATGAGTTGGAACCCACTAGGCGGCACTTAACAACAACATACATTTACTCATGGTTGCTTCAACCTAGTCTTTTAGGTATACATAGTAGCTTCAAACAAAAAATGGATCTAAACTTGAAAAAAAACAAAAATGCTTATAAACGTAGCCATTCAAAAAATTGTAATTTTTCATTCAGAACTTATATTGGGGAAAATCAGCTACATTTCTGGATTTATAAGACAAATTAAAGTAGTTAGTAAAGTATCTGCAAGGTTAAATTTAGTGTTTTACTTCAAGGACTCTCTAAACGCTTGCAATGCCCATTGTTTATCTGTGCTCATATAACCGGCCTCATCATATTGGAACTGCTGTATTGATCACTAAGGACCTCCTCATATATATTACAAGACATCTGTGAGAGTTGTTAATCTTATGATTGCAATTTCACATTAAATATTCAAAAACAATGAGATAATGACCATTTTATGGAAGTATTTCTTTTAAATGGAGTCCTGGTGTGATGCTATATGATAATCACTGACTGCTAACCACAAGGTTGGCAGTTCAAATCCACCAGCCACTACTCAGAAACCCTAGACAGGGTTGCTATGAGTCAGAACAAACTCAGCATCACTTAACTGTAACAAAAATTGTTAAATGAAATAATCTGCACTTGGTGTTTTTATCATTTATGCTAGGTGTGGGGAACTTCCGGCCTTCAGGCCATATGTTGTTGTTGTTAAGTGCTGTCAAGTCAGTTCCAACCCATAGCGACCCTCTATAGGGTTTCTGAGGAGCAGCTGGTGAGCTTGAACTGCCAATCTTACAGTTCAAATGGCTTTGCAGTCTGACGAATTTACCCACAGTGCCACACCAGGACTCAGGCCATATAAGGCTCTCAAAATCACTTGTTTTGGCCTGCCAATGCAATCACAGTGCCGTTAAGTTCTAACCCACAGCGATCCTGTACAGGGTTACCAAGGAGTGACTGGTGAGTTTGAGTCTCTGACTTTGCGGTTCCAACCAACTTTGCAGTCCACTGCATTAACCCACAGTGCCATCACCACTGTGATGTTCATTAAATATTTGACCAAAAACAGCAGGCTAATTTTTAAGTTGACAGTTTTGCATGGCCAGCAAATGATGTTTACCAATTTGGCAGAAAAAAGTTTCCCCACCTCTGATTTATATAGACATACCTACATACATGAAAAAGAACTTGTTCTGAGTTTCAAACTATACAATGGAAATCACTTTTGAATTCCATTGTATAATTAGAATTATAATGTATAATCATTTGAAATATGAATACTTTGAGAATATTGGTTTTGTATAAAAGTGTCACTTTATAATTGTTTTCCAGAATGACTGCCTTCTAGATGTCACATTGCCTATTACCTTTGGAATAGTTTAGGACCACTGAACATAACACCGTTTTGAGGTAATATTGAATTAGGTCAAATTTTGAACTGATCCAATAAGTTTATTTGAAAAGAAAGGGAAAAGAAAAGGTCTTAAAATTCTTTTTTAATCAAAATACTTTAATTAACAGAATCACTTTAGCATATATTGAAGTCCTGGTGTGGTACAATAGAATAAGCACAGAACTGCTAATCACAAGGTCAGCAGTTCAAATCCACCAGCTACTCCTCAGAAACCCTATACAGGATCACTATGAGACGAAACTGATTCAACAGCATTTAACAACAACAACCATGGTGCAGTGTTATTAAAGTATAGCATATTACTAATAAACGCAATATAGTTGTCTCACATAAAATAGAGATATTACACTTTTTCCAAATATCAATTGTTTCTATGACTCACATAAGCCTATAATATAAAGGTGTGCAATATGCATTTTACTTTAAAATCTGATGATACTGTTTAAAACTACAAAATAGCTAAATTTATGTTTGCTGATTTTCCAGTATATTTACTTTACTATTTAATTCCATAAATAAGCTATGTATTAAATATATTACCCTAAATATTGAAATGCCATCTATCTTACTACAAATGTAGTGTGTGTTAGGCAGAGTAAAAAGAAATTTTCATTGAAAAAAGAAGGTTCACTGTGCCATTTGTCCAAGTCGCAGAATAAAAAACCAAAAGGAATCGAGAAGCAAAACAAACAGGATCCTTGCAGCTAATTTCAATAAAGAACTTGAAATCCTGTTCTGTTTTGTTTTCCTTTTAGTTTAAAAATGTAAGCAAACAAATTCTATAATGCAGCATTCTGTATGCTAAAACACATTATATAAATGCTATTCAAATACAGGTTACTTTTAAAGTAAGACATCATGGAGCTTGCATTGTTATTTTGTAGTGCGGGATTGCCTTCATCCACACTAGCCTCTACTGTGATGAACTCATTGCACAGAGCAATGTACTTGGAAAAACTTATTCCTTGTCACACTGCTTGCCAAGTTTTGTGAACTGACACCAGCATTGACTAATGATAGTGCTGGAATGTGCTATTCTCAGTAGAATAGAGGCCCGTACAGACCTAGGAGTGTCCTGGGGTCCAGCTTCTGTCCTTCCAGGGGGTTGGTGCCATACAACAGTGAGTGATGTTCAGAATGTACAAGTTGTATTTCCTCCAGGCTGGCTTTCCGACCTTGAATTCTCTGAAAGAAAACAGCAGAAGCCTACAGTACTCCACTGACAACATTCAGAAGAAAGCAGACCCCAATTACATTTAAGATGATTAATAATAGGTTGGAGTTCAGCATACAGGAATGTGACACTGATGTGCTTATTAAAGTATCATAATAATACTTGAAAATCAAGTGTATGCAAGGCTCAGATACAATAGATTGGTTATTCCTATGTGAACAATTGATACAAATTCTGCATATTCATCTTTGGGAATAAAAAAGAAAAAAATAATTTAATTGTTAACTTCTTTATCAAAGTTATCACCTAAAAGACACACATGGACTACGTTTAGTCAACAAGTAGTAAATTTGTTAAAATCTTATTTTACACTCACCTTGAGATGTTCAGTTTGGTCCTTATGCTTTCTTCAGGGGACTAAGCACTAATGTTTTTAAATGTATTTAATTATAAAAAAAAATATGCTGCTACTTCATGTGTGTACACCTTGTTGTTATTGTTGTTCCTAAGTGCTGTCAAGTCATTCCGACTTATAGTGACCCTGTATAGGGTTTCCAAGGAGCATCTGGTGGGTTTGAAGCGCTGACCCTGTGGTTGGTTCAAAGTCCAGTGCTAATCCTACAGCGCCATAATCTAGGCCAATGTTACTTTGTACTCTATGGAATCAAAAACTGTTCAAGACTTCTTTCTTAATGGTCTTTCTTAATGGTGATGAGGTCAGTACAGATATTCAAAGTAATTGTTAAGAATTTTTTTTAGCAGTTTGACAGAGGTTTCTTTTTTAAATTTCTGCTGAAAGTAATATAAAAATGAGAATTGTACTTTGTATATCTTGAATATTTCATTTTACAGCAATTCAGTTTTACTTTATTTTATAAAATTATTGACTCATGACAGACTGGAAATTATATGTAAGACAAAACTGTTGTTTATCCAGAAAAAGTTTCGTGATGCGTTATTGTAGACTCACCCAAATTGTTAAACATAGTGTAGGCAGAACTTTTCAATCCAACTAACAAACAATAGTCCTTTATCATAGACATAACTGAACACAAGGGTAAAACTGAGGAGAGCAATGGCTCCATAGGATAAGAACTAGACTGCAAACCACAAGGTTGGCAATACGAGTCCACCAGCTGCCCAATGAGATAAATGAGGCTCTCTGCTCTCACAAAAATATTAAAAGTCTTGGATCTCCTATACAGGGTCACTGAGTTGGAACTGGCTTGAGGACACTTAACAACAACTTAATTAGCCAACAAGCAAAGTGTTCTTTCTAGTCACACTTCTTAGTTGGTATATCCAGGAGCCTGATAAGCATTGGACTGGTGTATAAAGTTAAAGAAATTTTTATTGTTGTGGGTTGCCCTCATCTCTAACTCATGATGACCATATGTATAACAGAATGAGATGTCGCCCATCTCCATGATCTTTGATACACTGAGCACATTGTCGCTGCTAACCGTGTCAGTCTATCTCATTACCTTTTTAAAATTGTTGTGCTTTATCAAATACCTGGCCAATACTAATATTCCACTTACAGTACATGCTATCACAAAGCATTATAAGGTAAAATGCCAGTGTAAAAATACAGCAAAATCCAAAAGGAATCTATTCAGGGAGTTGCCGTCTTCCCATGTTTCTGACTATGGAACTATCAGTTCACATGGGAACACCAGGTGACAACACCTTTCTCAGGACCAGGGCAATTCCACAGCCAACCTTCCTAGTTTAAGGTGATGTGTCTGCTGTCATACTCTTTCATGCTGATGTATGGGTAGGCTGACAAAAACTTGATATACTGACACTTCCTAGACATTTGTTGGGTAGTGGCCAGAGCTGTGCTTGTCATTATAAAAATAAATAATGAGGTCAAAGTGGAGGAGGAATGGTGGAAGACTTGAGGGATAACAGCAAGGGAATGATGTAAAACAAAATCTCCATGACATTATGCCATTAAGTATCAAATAAACAACCAAATGCTTATGCAATTTTATTTGCCATAGAACTGGTTTCCTGTTTTTTGACACTATCATTATGTAATCCACATTACATTTCTACAAAAGTAAAACTATACTTTAGAGAACTAATTCCCAGGTACATAGAGTGAGAAATGTAATGCTGGAGACTAAGGCTAATTAAGTAATGTCTATCTGATCAACAATTATTTGTTCAATAAACATTGTATTGGTCCAGGTGCCTTACATGTAAACATTATGTTTGAACAAATGTGTGGAAGACCAGAACAATCTAAGAAACAAAATGACAAGCAATAAAATGAATACGAGAAAGGTCAAAGTCCATATTAAAGGAAATACTTTACTGTGCATTTCAGCTGGTGGAAACTCCCCCAGAGACATAAAGGTGACTCCATGATTTGAGTTATGGAAAACTGGAATGGGACAGGCACTGGAAAACAGACTGTGATAGCCAGTCTAATCCGGCAAAATAATAAATGCTAATAATGGTGGTGATGATTATGTGTCGTGGAGTTGGTTCTGACTAATAACAACCCTGTGTAGGGTTTCCAAGGCTGTAACTCTTTACAGGAGCAGAAAGCCTCATCATTCTCCCACAGACTGGCTGGTAGATTTTGAACTGCTGAACTTGTGGCTAGCAACCCAATTCGTAACCCACTTAATATCAACAGATAAAGTGCTCAGTTACTATCTGAAAGGTCAACAGTTTGAACCCACCAGTCTATGTTAAGATGTAGTGGTCTGTTTCTGTAAAGGTTTACAACCTTGGGAACCCTATGGTGCAGTCATACTCTGTCTTCTACGGTTGATATAGAGTCAGAGTCAACTTCACAGTAATGAGTTTGGTTGTTTTTATTGTTGTTGTTTGTTTACAGTTGTAATTTCTATGAGTGTATGGAGTCCTGTTGTGACACCGTAGGATAAGCACTAGGCCACAATGTAACAGTTCAAATCCTCCAGCCACTCCACAGAAACCCTATACAGGGTCAGTATGAGCTGGATCCTACTTGACGGCACTTATCAACAATAACGTGAAATCCATAGTCATTAACATATGTCCATTGACACAAACTCATATCTTAATTGGTGTTCTATCACTAGTAATCCTCTTACTCTATAACTAACACTTCTAGATCCATGTTTTGACTATAAGCATTAAACATCATTTTATTTTCCTTTCTCCTTTTCTAGAAAGAATTTGTAGCTCTAAATTGAGTGTTGAATCATCAAATAGCATTTATAATAGTCTTTGTTTTCATAATGAGCTATATTTTTTTTCCCATGCTTGTCCCAACTCCTTTCTCATTCTCCACATTCCCACTATCATTCAGACTGAATGCTCAATCACACAAGATTGAATTACTGACAGTAGCTCAAGCATTGATAAATCATAAGGGGACATCTGCTGAACCTCAGTCATCCCCTTGTGTAATATCAGTCAACTAACAGTGAGAATACAACATCTGCCCCAACCTATCTAGCATTTATTTATTAAAAGAGCACATCCTCCTAGCTTGCTCTCTAGTCATCTCCCTCGCTATTAAAATGAAGTTTCCACTTCTATTTATTTTCAGTTTCTCTCCCTCTGTGCTTCTTTTTGACTCAGAAGGCTTTTTACAGTGACATTTGTGGTGCTGGGGGTTAACGTGCCAGAGACATTTGTGGTACTGTGGGTTAATGTGGTGGACTGCAAAGTTGGTTTGAACTGCAAGGTAAGCAGTTCAATCTCACCAGCTGTTCCAGGGAAACCCTATACAAGGTTGCTGTGGGTCAGAAGCGACTCGACAGCACTTACCAACAACAGCAACATTTTTACTATTATAGCAGCTATTTATTTTTAAAAATAGGAAAATATATGGAAGGAATTCCTTACTATAATCATCTTCACTTATATGATTACTGGAGAATATTGTACACAGATTGAGAGATGTGAAAACCAACTCCATAAGAATGCTTATATCTGGAGAAAGGATTTGGAGTAAAGAAAGTGTATTTTAGATTTGTATCTTACAGGAACACTGCTATGGGAATTTAGGGGACAACTAAATTAAAAATTCCAATATAGAAAAAATTTTAAATTTCTTAATATATAATATCACCTGGAATTGTTCCATTTTACCTCACTTTTATTACATGCCTCAAACTGAGTTATCCAGTATGGTCAAACACCATTTCCTGGTATTACTACCCATAACTTTGCAGCTTGTTTATGCTTAAATAATAGAGATTATCATTTATTTTCTATTTCCTGTGTGCCCTTTATCCCTTCATTTCGCTCTCATTACACTCTCTCGAGTCAAAGGCCAACAGCACAGTGAGTCACAAAATAGGATAAAGTGTATTCAAAACATTAACACAGGGAGATACTGATTTCTGTTCTCAGAGATATCTGATTTGCAGGACATCTATTCAAAGTCATCTATGAAATTCTGACCAAAAGGATTTGTGAGACTTCTGAGTGTATTGACACCTTCAGTTTGTCTAAAGGATGTTGGTTATGTGGGCAGTTTTCACTTGAGAGCCAAATATACGTCTTAAATGCATTACCAATACAGGCCTGGCTGGCTGGCTGTGTGCCGTGGAGTCGCTTCCGACTCATAGAGACCCTGTGCAGGGTTTCCAAGGCTGAAAATCTTTACCGGAGCAGAACGCCTCACTTTCTCCCATGGAACAGCTGGTAGTTTCGAACTGCTAACCTTGAAGTTCTCAGCCCGATTCATAACCACTACGCTACCAGATCTCCTTAATATAGGCCTAGGAATGGACATTTATAGTTCTTCTTTCATGTTCTCAAAGAAACACTGCAATGTGATTATGCTCATTGGTACATGACCATTTTCTGTGACTTACACTCGATTAGTTTCTTCCCTGAGATAGGAAAAGAACGAATCGCCTACACTCTGCTAAGCACATCAAGAATGTTATCGTATTTAAATCAGACGCAGTATATACCTAAAATGGTCTATATTCAGGTTGCAATTGTTTAAAATGACCATATCATTGAGACTCACGGCACACCAGGATTCTTTCCT